TTCCGCAATCTAATTTATTATTAGTAAATGCCTTTCCAGCATAACTCGTATCTTAGTTTCTGGATATTGCTAATGGGATACACAACTATAATGAGAGAATTAGCCTAAGAATATATACGCGGTCAAACGAGTTGATAAAATTGGTAGTTACTCATGGACACTTGAACCCTTACACACATATTATTAAACAGTGATGAGTAAATCGAGAACCATATGGAAATAGTGCTTTAAAATACCACAATCAACAGGAGATTGTCATTCATGAAACACTATTTACATAGTTTCCAGCTCAAATCTGATTAGTTCGTCCCTGTATTCTACTTCTTCTAGAAAAGCATTAGCCTTTTAGGTATATTGATAGCCTATGATTTAGGCAGAATAATTTGGAAATGAAAACACCGTTCGGTAAAAGTATACTGTGTTGACGACTTTGAAGGACTTATCAGCCATTCAAAATGCTCTGACTTGTTATAAGATGATTACCAATCAAAAGCAATCAAATCACAGTGGAACCGCGTTGATGATATGATTAACCATGTCTTATATGTTAAATCATTCATAATGGTTGGGATAGCTTTTCTAACCAAGCCTTCTTTGATATGCAGGATCTGAAAACCAGTCTTTCGGTTAATGGCTGCTGACAAGCTATCAAACACTTCAAATGAATCATGCTTCAGTGATAGTGTGCTGTTTAAATAAATCAATGACTTCTTGTAATTGATGACTGTTGTAATTTTGAATTCCAAATATAATACATTCGTTCGGGTTCATCTAATACTTCTTGATTACATTGCGTTATTCCTGGGATTACTAGTTTATACTACAATTTAAACACTTCTGATTATCATATTGGCGTCGCGACTGAGCCTGTGATGGAACGGTTAAATATAAATTCAGATTTTAATGCTTTTAAGGAGTACATGGGGAGGTTCGAAATCTGGGCTTTGACCAAGGAAGATGATGAAGATTTTAATATTGTGGCCCATTTCCTTACATTCATTGGGAAAGAAGCATACAGCCTTATAAAGATTTTGGCACTTCCAGACAAACCGATTTCACTCCCCTATGCAACTCTCAAGCAACTACTGTTGGATCAGGTAAAGTATACAAATTCCGAATGCGGTAAGAGAGAAAAATCCGATAAAATGACTCGCAAGGACTTCTGGAATTCCACTTCTTTAATAAGTCGTCGCAATTCGATGCGTAATCAAATTTATTCAGATAATACTTGATTGAGCTGTGAAACAGTCCATGATGATGAGCACGAGTTTAGTAAATGCTTGTTCTGCGGCAAGTTTCACCCATGTAATTCATGTATATTTCGTAATCCTAAATGCTTTAAATGTGGTATAACTGAACATACTCAGTCAGTTTGTAATACCATGGTTCATTTCGCTGAAAGTAATGCTAAGATGGATGCTTCTAATGATCAGTTATCTTTATCTAGAAGAGGTATAACGTTATATAACAGTCCAGAGTTGAATGAAACCCAGAGTCATTGGGAGGCGAAAATTCTCAACCAATCAACTTATCAGATTTCTCATGTTATTGTGCCAGATATGGTTTGTCGTAATAATTCACATACTTCTGATGTAATTTCTTACAACTCTGAGAATAGAATGTTAAATGAGTCAAATCATGATCAAAAACCAAATTCAGTCATGGTAGATGTTGAATTCCCTGATGATCCATTACCTAATGAAACTCTTAATCAATTTGAGGAAAATATTTCAGAAGAATCGAATTCTGATATCATATCAAGTGTCAGTGGTCCTCATAATGAATTTATCTCTAATGATATTCCTCATGAATGTGAAAAATATGTTTCTTATGAATTGAATTCTAGTCATATTTCTGATGTTATTGTGTCATATGTTGGATACTCTCACGAACAATGCATGTTGAATAGAATCCCTAGTCAGGGGTATAATGATACAGAGGGGATAGCAAAATTTACCGAAATAATCAGAGAACCAGCTTGCCCAGAAGTGAAGTTTGCACAGACAGAGAATCCAAATCAAGTCCAAGATTATCCTAATGAATATGAGGCAGATGAATGTTTTCTATTCGATTGTTTCGCAGGTAAATCAAGCCTAATTGAATCACGTGTGTTAATTACATATATCAATGCATATCCATCTGTATATTCTAATATGAATAACAAAAAGAATATGTATCATGATTTTTATTTAAGTCAAAGTCACATGATGGAATACCTCAAATCATATATCAGTGTTTATTCCCAAATACTCACATACAGTAGTCGATGCGTAAGATTTGAGAAGATAATGCAAATCGGGAACGTCGTATTGGCTAAAACATTGCGAAGTAAGGACCCAACATTATTTCGTAGGGGAGGGTATTGTTGGAAAATCCATGATGCAAATTCTAAATATCAATGATTTCACTACAAAGCCGGCATGCTGATTGTATACAATTCCAGAACCCAGGTGAGTCTGTTTCAATTTCGGTTGTTAATTCTAATACTAATGAGTGCATTCTAGATAATACAGAGTCTACATCCGATACACTTTCGGACAGATGTAAGATGAACTTAAGAAGAAGACGAACAATCGATTACAGACACTTACACTCCAATTCGAGCTGTGGCGGTTGTGGTGTTTAAATAAATCAATGACTTCCTGGTATTGATGACTGTTGTAATTTTGAATTCCAATACAATGCATTCGTTCGGGTTCATCTTGTACTTCTTCATTAAATTGCGTTATTACTGGGATCACTAGTTCATACTACAATTCAAATACTTCTGATTATCATAGATAGGTATCAAAGAAGGCTTGGTTAGAAAAGCTAAGGTTCTCAAGGCTGAAATTTTGTTCAAGAGTGAACTTTTATTAATAAGTAGTAAGTTAAAAACAGAGTGTAAAGTGTAAAAAATCGAAAGCTTCATAGCGATGGTACGTGTTTTAGATTTGCATGGACTATGGTTTAATGTGTTTGACCGATCGTATGGGCTGTAGCTTGAACAAACTGTAGTGCTAGTGGGACCAGGGATTTCTGAAGGCCAAAAAATCATTATTTTGACAAAAGCAGATTAATTTGTTGAACTTAACTTGGTGGACAGTTAAGACAGGCACCTGCTAGATAGGGTTAAGTTGATGGTGCGTAATCTAGTAGTCCATCTTGCCTATTGTGAAAGTGATGAGAAGAGTTGCACCTGTAAGATCATCAACGTTGATGTTCTATGTCGAAATGATTGAGGGCCTACCAGAGTTAGACGAGAATGGTGACGGACCAACTAACGCTGAAGTCACACCTCGCGACCAGCACCTTACGTGGATTGTCCCCATCGACGTAACAAGGGACCATGGATGCTATGGAGACTGTATAACACAAAGGACGTTATCACAAGAATATATTAGTTAAGGTACAACCACGAAAGTACAGAAGCGAAAGTACAACCACTGCCGCGTGGGCCAGTCCATGGCGTATGATTGGTTGATGCACGTTGACTATCCTTGACCTTGACAGGGATCGACGATCTGTTCGATATTCAGTGACATTTCACTGACCCTACACACCTTACAGGTTTAATGCTTACAACATTTTGGGGTAATCATGGAGCACGTTGGTTCACTGCGGTCTGTCTAATATTAGGCCTGCTTACACAATGGCTGTAGTGGCCGTCTTATGAGATGTTTAAACGAAGTGTGTCCTTATAACCTACCCTAAGATGAGTAGGGTGACGCATGGTTTCAGAAATTATATTTTTGTTTGGTAGGGCCATTGTAACATTTTTGGTATTCAGTCTAGAATCAGAAGGTTTTGTGCATAATTTCTTCAATGGCGATTTTGTCAGGTATGTTATTGATAATTACGTTATTTCGAGAGATTATCTGATTCAAAAGGAGTTTAGGTTGTCGAGCATGAGGTATAGATAATAACAGAATTGTTATTATCTGAAGAATTAGGGCTTTTCCGGGCTCGTTTTTTGTCAATCGACCCATTTTACTTGAAGGGTTAATTCTAATGTTATTAATGAGTTATAAATTAGGACTGAACTATATATAAACACGGTGTAAAAGATACCGTGTAATCGCAACGCAAACTTTAAACGTACGGCGATATAATGTACACTAGCACGTTCTTTTTATAAACGATTTCTAAGCCTTAACTTTGTTTTCCTCTAACTAATTCGTCAGGGTTTGCTTGGAGATCATAGTAATCAGCCTCACTTTCTGTTGTTCTCCGGGTTTCGAAATCATCCGCAAACATTTGTGCTGACAACTTAAGCAGTCGCGGTAATCCACTGACTCAGAGAAGGAAAAATATGTGACCTAAGATGATGTCTTGTAGTACACCACTTTTGACCAACCTCCGTTCAGATAGTGCCCCTTTTGTTCTCAACCCCTGTCTACAGTTACGGCGGAAGTTTCCAAACCATTCTTATTCAGCATCTGTCATTTCGAAGATCAAGTGTTTCTGCATAAGATCTAAGTGAGTAACCTTATCAAATACTTTGCTAAAATCTGTAAATATTACATCAACATACAGACGGTCATCTTGAGCTGCTGTACAATCCTCTCTAGCGGCAAGTAAGTCAGTCAAGCATGAATGCTTATTTCAAAGCCCATGATGCATGAGAGTTAACAGATTGTGTGATTTTAGACTTCTTAATAACCTAACATATATCATTTTCATGTACATTACATTGCCATGATCACTTGGTAGTAAAAGGTCTCCATGTTAATTACTGTGATGACACTCAATCTACGATACTAGTATTTAAGGATGTGGCAACAAATAGATTCAGTTGCCACACTGGATGGTATAACGTCATTGTCAATGTAATACATGTTAGTATTAGAACCCATGATTATTGTACTTCAATATATAGCACAGAACTCCATCTGCTCGATGATTCACACATCGGTATGGTTATTAGAAGAAAACCGATTTTAATTTCAAGTGTTAAAGAGTGCAATTTAACGACTATCCATTGCTTATTGAATGACATACACAGTTTTACTCAGCTAATTAACTGATTTCTTTGTTTACCGCAGTTTTGACCTTGTATACTACCGAAAATTTAAAATGGTTGAAGATGCCAAATTTTTGAAAAGGTATGTTAGTGATATTTACGAAACTGTCGAAGAAAAATACGCGCTGGTTCCATAGATGTGCATCCAACAGAAAAAGCACTTGTTGTGCATTATGAAACGGAGGCCACAATTCTTGGGGAACTAGGAAATCCCATGGTTGGGGATCGTAAGGAAAGTCAAAAAATGTAATAACATATAAGTTTATGACGTTTCAAATATATAGAATTCGAGTTAGAAATTTGAATGAAAACACAGATATCCCTGAGCTGGCTAAAAAGATCATCTCAAGCTGCAAGTTGATATCGGAGAACAAATATCCACAAGTTGAACACTTGCTAAAGTATTTGCTGAATAGAAAAGAGACGAAGATAGTTAAAAATCGTAAGTTTATGTTGTCATCGAAAATTGGCTGCTCATTCGTGACCCTTTGAACACTACGAAACTGATATTTTTTCGTTTATATTCACTCTAACTAAGTGCTTCCTAAATAGGTTTATAAGCTTGTGATTTCAAAAGGACTCAAGTTTATTTACTTCCAATGGATCTTTAATCTCTTTTGATCCATGTTGATTTTAGTGCATACTACCGAAAAACCGTTGGGAGTTTAGATCTCCTACTCGTAGGATATCATTTGGATGCAGAGATCATACATTAGAAAAACCACTGTGTTTGCTTTCCAAACATGCTTCATGGAATATATGGATATATAAATGCAAGGGGGAATAAATCGCTATAATTATTTACCAATCAATGTTCGGTATTTTTGTGGAATTACAACCCATAAGACGTAATGCACAAAATTTGAAAACATTTTCAGATGCTCTTACTGATCTGAAAAGTAGTTAAAAGACTGAAAAATGGATTGGTTGTTACACAATAGTTGATTTCTCAGTTTTAACCTGAAATAAAAAGGATACACTGGTTCGATTGATGAAATACCGTTCGTGTTGTTTATCCAGTAGATACTCAAACCAATTATTGAACTTTCCCACTTACTAGGGTCTGTTAAAAATATAAACGCTCGTGGTTTTAACTTTCAAAATAAGAAGGAAAACTATGTGACCGACGAACTTGATTACTTAACAACATGAGAACTACTCAGGAAATCACAGTTTATATAAGACTTGCACAGGAATTTGAAAAATAAACGGACAAGTGAAATGTAACTATTTAATTTAAGTGACAAAAATGGATTTAAAAAGTATCAGTCAAATTTATAGGGTGGATACATCTTGAAACTACTATCAAGCTCCATCTAGACTACTTGTCGTCTCTCACTAAAATATTGTCGCGTTCTTATGACATAGACATGGTCGATATATCAGTGTTGCAACTCGGAGCAAGTTCTGATTGCTGCGGCAGGCAGAGCTGCGCCCCGTGCCTTGTGATTAGCCGAGTTGCCAGTTGTTGCAATGGTTAAAAATTGCTATTGTCTGTGCAGTAAGACAACAATTTGAATCTAAAACTATACACCTGACTACATGAACTACGTATGTATGTATGTAAATGCTTTTTCATTACCGCAACATCAGAAAAGTAATTCATAACACACTTACAATATGAAATAAACGGTTTGATCTTAAGGCTAAATGCTTTTTATTGTGTAAGTTTATATTATATTTTAATAGATTGGAATGTATGTATAGCCAAAATCCCTTTCACTTTTTAACAAGGACATTGACTAATATTTTTGACTTTGTAGATGATTTCCGCATTTAGTTTCTATACACTGAATTGTTTTTCAAGACGTTATTATTGTAATTTACAGCAAAGAAGATGTCTCTCTCGAGTTAAAAGTTGCCAGTGAAACATAAATATTGCAGGTCAAAATAATGGTTCCTTATATTCTGATCTAAAAAGCCGGATGTAATATTTCTCTAATTTTTAATTTCCAATAAACTTCTCATGCAAACCTTCATTTATCGGTTTTCATATTAACAAAAGCTTGATAATAAATTAGTTTGATCCTTATACTACCGAAACGTAAATTTTTGATACTCAAATGACTTGAATGAAAACCATTTTAATATCACGATCAGCACTATCCTTCATACAGCTGCTGATGATTATCAGACTTTAATCTTGGTCAGTATTTCTATATTTTTAATGTTAAATTAACTTTTATTAGAAAAACCATCAATCATATCAGAAACACTTGCTGATCCCGGAGCATTTGATTCAACTGAAATAGATGAAATCGCTCATTTGGCTGAACTAGATGATTACTTAGAACTACTCTATGAAGGTATATCGGAAAAGCTACGTGCATCAGCTTTAATTTTACAACTTGCAAGAAATCCTGACAATTTAGAGGAGCTGTTTCAAAATGGTCAGTTAAATCCACATCTTCATAATTTGTGTTTAAGTTTTGTCGTTCTTCAAATTCTTAGTTTTTTCCAGGGGATCAAAAAATAAATATCCAAGTCAGCATCTATAAAGCCGTATTGTTGTTTGATGTTTAGCACTGATAATTTTGATGAGGTATTTGGATTTTGCCCCAGATTATGGCTTTGATATTCTAAAGTTTGCTGCCTTCATACAGGAAAAATGTGATTTGTTTTGATGCAATAACATATCAAAACTGTTAGAATCTCCTTTCACTTCTTAACGACAAAAATACAAGTAACGCCAATATGTTTCATGTATACCGAACCTCTTTATGATAGACGTATATACGGTGATGATATATGGGACATGGTTTCAAGGTATTATTTGGGACTTGACAGACAGTAACTCGGTACTTTCTTGGCACAATTATAAAAAGGTAAAGTTATTGTTTGTTGATAGTAACGAACTTTTTGCGAAACCTAACTTCACGCTTTAGAGGTACAGTTATACCTTTTACTTTAGTGTTACGATGAGTACGATAAAATGGATCCAGAAACCATACTAAATTAGATCTCATTGATATATTTTGTTATATATGTGATATTAAATGTTTCCACAATGTTTCTCTGAATTTCTCTTCAATATATCTAGAAAAACGTTTGTTATATCAGTGTGAATCACATTAGAGAGCCAAAGTACAATAGTACATCTAGAAATAACCTTTTGATGTTAGTATATGATAAGTTACTTTGAACTGAATCGTTTAAGTGCTGGTTTATTCCGTTCATATGTTTGTCTCCCCCACTTTTTTAGATATGGTATTACTGAAAGTACTTAATCTATAATTTAGCTCCCTTAGTCAACTTGTTTTTATGTTCTGATCAAATCATTTACTTATTTTACCTAAAGCCAGTGTTATCATTTGAATAGTTCTGTTATAACCAAATAAAGCCCCTGACGTTTCTAATTCTATGGTCTACCCATTTTATTCTTCATCAAGAATCATGGGTAAGAAAATATAATACTGCTGCCTAAGAGTTGTTACCAGTTATTTTCAAACCGACGTTTAACCAATGCTGGATGGCATGAATTGGCATGAAATAGCATGAAAAGGTTTCATGTTTCCTCCCAGAATATCAGTTCATTAATTCGAAAGGAACATTTTAATTGTGTTAAGGTTGATAAGTTTGGTTAATATATTTTTACGTTTCAGAACATATTTGTATTTGAACAAATCCGAGGTATTTGTTCAAACTTTATTTGTAACTGTTTTAATGGATTGACTTGATACTGTGTTTTGCAAAACATATATTTATTTGCGACTTATGACCTCCAACTTGTATTGGACTTGAACACTTTCTTCATAGAAACCCTTATTGGTGCTTTGGCAAGAGTTCTGCGTGAAGACTGGAAAAAGAGTACAGATTTAGCAACGAACATAGCCTATATATTCTTCTGTTTTTCTTCCTTCTCAAACTTTCACGGAGTAATATTGCATTTTAAAATTGGTAGGTTTATTTAAATGTACTCATTTTACCGGTAAATAATTAATTATCTTGAAAGATTTCAAGACCACCGACTTTGATACTGTTTTTTCACAATATCCATTCTGGTGGAATGGTCTAGTTTTCATTCCCGTTTTAACTGTACAGTGTATCTCGTAACACTCAGTACATGGGTAATGATCATTGCTACACCACTTGATCTATGGCTTATGCTTGATCCATATAATGAATTTTCACTCCATCGTAGTCCACATAGGAATCTTTCACTTCTGAAAGAATCGATCCAAATTTGTTCATAGATAGCTCAGGACAGAACACTAATTGACATTGTTCTAAGTTTCCATACCCCACAGATGAACATTTAAAGGAGAAATTAACAATGCAAAAGGAGATGGAGATGAAATAATTATATTCTTTACTGAATAACTTGCGAGCTATGGTTATAATGAATTGAGCTTGATCGAAGAATAAAGTGTGTGAACAAAGATGAAACCAAATATTTAAGAAGAAATAGATAGTAAATGTATCTGTACCATCGTGATAAGTTTTAACCCATTGCAAGCAACGTCTCCAACGATGGGTTACAATGATCATGGGTGTCCCAATCAGAATAGCTCAACTGCTTCCTAGACTGACGATATGTCTCTTTTAGGATTTCTTCCGATATACTCTTGGGCCAGCTTGTACTACAATTCAAGTTAGATAATGAAACATTATACTCAAAACATGTCTTACTCACTTCAGCTATTGGGGGTTTATTAACTCGTTAATTGGCTTGATGCTCTCATTAAAAATATTACGTCTACTCGTAGCACTATTCATTTGATGTTTCCTCTATACCGTGCTCTTAAGACACACACCATCAAATACGTGAACCTCATTTATATCTCTTAATTTTATAGACGATGTTTGATAGCCCCCAATTAGCTAAGGGCCGTCTATTGTTCCATGTACTAGCTTTTTAATAGACGTATATAAATTTCACCTGCTTCTCAACATTCATGTTCCATAATAGTATTTCATTATCGCCATAACTGTTATATTCAAAAGTATGTGCTAAGAATTGACTGCTGCTTTAAACAATTTGATTGCTTGTCTACCAGTTTGATTCTTCATGTGCAGCGGGTTATGCCGTTTGTATAGATCGTGCTCCTTCCATGCGTGTCTTCGAATATTGTTCCATATAGTTATCAAAGCGGAATGCAAGACGATCAATGGCTCCATTCATGGACGCCTTATCAATTTTGGCCATTCATGCGAATACAGTATACCTGAAAATTATCTACAAGTTCAACCAAACCGATTTACTGACCAGAAACGTGTTCATGGGAGGAGACTTTAGTAGTCCATCGAATAAAGCTAAATATCTATGTTTAGAAGCAGCGATTCCAATCTCTCATCTTACCATTGAACTTTATCATCATTAGTTGCGGTAACTGTTGACATTTGTTTGTTCCTCCTTTGCAATCTTGGAATAGATAACTATGTTTTCACACTTCTTATCTGTAGTCTTATTCTACCTTGCTTACATAGGCCAATTTTCGATGTTAAGCGTAAATGTTCGTAAAGACTGACAATGTTTTAAGTAGATGTTTTCGATATTTTTCGTTGGGAAGAAATGTTTTTTTAGAAATAGAGCGGTTATCTCCCGAGACTTACATACGAAACATTTTTTAAAATCAATCAGCAAGTATATCATATTTGAAATACTGTTAAGTAATTTGTATTAGCTTCGTGGAGAGTTATTAGTGAAACTATTCAGGGATAGTGGATAGATAGGCCCTCTGTGTGTTTATTACATAATCTATGGAATCAGCACTATTATCATTACAAACATATTCCAGTGACATTTTAAACTTCTAATTAAATCTTTAGTTCTTAGATTTGTTAAAATTGTTTTCGTTTAAGGTGCATTAATTATGAACATCATTGACCATGAATTAAAAAAATATGACTTATGGGTTGAAGAGCTAGATAGAAAACACAAATTATCGAACAATAAATCTGAAACGGGTTTGACAACGGATGATAAGTGTTTGGTGGATGAAGCACAAAGTAATTATGAAACAAGCTTTTTGAAGTATACATCACTAGTCAGGAAACAAGAACAGTTGTTTAGAGGTAAGTTACTAAAATCTATTTACGCATAAAAACAAGGTAAGGTCGATTCATATTTATTTCATGCTAATATAAAGATGAATAGAAAATGTACGGTTATATCATCAACGTACGACTCCGCAAAGGTCATTGTCAAAGAAAAACAAAGTGTATGCTTAACCACAAACTCAAACGAGTTGAAAACGATTGAGCCATATCCCACTGACTTTACCGAATTAAATATGTATGTGGCCACACATTTATGTGGATGAGTGACAGTGATCTCCAAATTGGGGCAATATATCACATAGTTCTGATATTGCTCGTCTTCTTATTACACCATCCAAATATATACCAGTTATAGAAATGTTGTCATAATCTAAAATTCATTTAATATGATATGACATACATTCATTATGAGAAACAGAACAATCATTTGTTTTGATAATGGTCAAAGATGCCTAACAATACGATACTCATTTACTTCGACACATTTACAATATTAGATGTCTCTTGAACAAAAACAAGCAACAGACAAGTTAAGTAACATTACTGTTAATCGACAGTGAAAATGCTGATATAAAATGGTGATTGTCAGTTTCAACGACTAGCATAACATTTAAATTAGTATGGTCAAATAAATATTAATTCGTATCTGAAACATAACCTCGCCTGTAAGTAATGTGTGTAGATTTCACTTATTGATTTACGAGGCTAAATATTTTATGCAGACATAGCTTGGTTATGTATATAAATGCTAGCAATGAAATCTAGGAGATGCCTATCAGTTAACTCGAGGTTGATCAGCTGCATATGATACAGCTCTATTTAGGAAGTTACTGAGTTAAGATAACCGCTACGTTTCAGTAAGAGTTAGTTTGTTGTTAACATATAAATATAGGAGATCACCTATAAAAGATAACCATAAACCTGAATTATTCTTCCTTAAAAGAATTTAATTATCATGATTTGAAGTGACCTTGATTCACTGTTCAACGTTCAGTAAAATCATAACAAAAAGCATTTTTAGTGGAGACCAGGACAAACGAGTTTATACTTTTACTGACGACTAATTACTACTACCCAATATCGAGAAGTTTATTAACTATTAGTATTAACATATTAAACCGGCTTTCGGATCCCCGCTATTTAACTTTACATTGAATTTGTATTTACTCAAAATAGAAATTAAGAAGTTGAATGTATTCTTCTAGCAATAGGTTATTAGCTTTGACTGTTCTATCAACTACGAATTATGTTTGCAAACCCTTCCGTAAAAGAAAACCGAGCTGATCAGTGTCAAGTGTCACGAAACCTAGGTCCTGGGTTTCTTGTTGGCTACCTCCAACCACCATCTTATGAATGTTAAATATATTTGTTTTTGTTGGTGTGCTGTTGATTCCGAAAGTGAGAAATCAGTATGGAGATTTTTGTATTACGAGAAAATCTAGGAGAATTAGTTGCGAACTAAGGGAATCATTACTTCAAGAGTAGATTATTAGTTTTTAGATATGCTTCATTATGAAGATAGAAATTTATGAGTACTTTTTAGGTAGTTACCAAATCTGTCTTTCAAAAAATCTTGTAAAGTAAATAAATGATTGACCTCATATTCTGTCATACTAATAGTTAAGGAAACATAGTTAATAGAAACGCAAATGTGAAATTAAATTATTTTGCTAACTGCTTACAGAAAAAAAAACAAATCTTTGTAGTTTTCACTTGAAGAGAGATCTTTGGAAACATTTGAGGAAATGAATTGTGCTCTGAGTCAAAGATCTCTGTTAAATTAACTTGACGCTTCTGATCAAACCATTTGCATGGGAATTCCTTAATCAAAATTCGAAATTTATCTGCAATACATTGCAATCGTTAATGATAACATAAAGAATACACTTCATAAATCTCAATGCGTGAGATATTCAATGTGTTTACTGTGCTAATGCATAGTAACACACAAAATGCTTTTCACAAAAGACGTATAACAACTGTCCATAATTACATACGATAAGCAATGTAACACCCAGTAGTTGCGTTAACATCAGAATAGCAGTCAGCGATTGAAGCAAGAATTAAGAATATGAATGATAGAAACTGTCACAAATAAAAAAATGTTTAGTGAAAACACAGGAAATAAAAATCAATGTTAAGAGTGCTAGAAAAATGCAAGTGTAACAATAAATAGATTGAATATCACAGATTCATGTAAATATCCAGAAATACCACAAAACGACATTGTGACATCATACTCTGTATGTTCATAAATGATTGACAATCATATCAGTTGCTGAACGTTAATAAATAGTATAATTAATAAGCAAAAGTGAAATGGATAAGAAAAAGGTGAACATAAAAAGTACAAACAAAATTGATACATTTGTTGATTTACATAAGAACAAAGATCAATCAGGAACACTTTTCAAGTATCATGTGGTTAGCTGTTGGTTAGTGAATAAGCTGGTTTGCTTTGATAAATTCAACTGACTTGTGATGACTATGTTTCTCTAAATTGTTTAACTCGTAAATATCATTGAAAGTGTTCGTTAGAAAAGGATTTTTTATTTGTATCCTGTATCTTCTTCTCTTTGATAATTTATAGTTTCCTTTTACTTACTGCTGAATATCAGTGAAGACCTTAGTGTTGAAATTAAAATGCATAATAAAGGAATAGTTAGTATGATCTGTAAATGTTTGAACCGAGACAATTTCGAACTGCTAATACTACTTGTGTCATTTTTGAAAAAATTGAGTATATTCTCTGAGAACAAGGATGAAATGGTAAGCAAAAATTAGATTATTAAATTTGAATTTCATTCACTTACTAATGAATATTATTTTATATGGTCTAATTATAAAGTAGACTTACTGGGATACTGATGTTTCGGTAACTTTTAGCTATCAGATAGTACAAATGAATGTTGTCAACCAATGATTTTGACCCACATACTATAAAGACGTTTTGTTCTCGAAAGGATGGTGAGCTCAAAGTATACTTTTTTTCAGAATATCATGACGTTTTAACACTTCCAAATACTTTTCATTCTCTCTTTACTGATTAGAAAGTCAACACAATGAACCCATATTTCGAAGCAAATTGTATTTATTTTAGTAGTAACCTGTTCACAGTTTGCTTCGATCATAATTATGCAATCGGATAGTTTAAACTTAAGCAAAGTTACTATATCCGATTGGATTGAATGACATCAGCATACGCATATTTTATTATTAGAATGGTTTATGGAAATTGTAGTCATTTAATAGTTGAATTCATGGGTCGATTTAAGCTAGACCAACCTGGAATCTCTGGATGACCGTTTCTTCCTAGTATGGGACTACTCAGAAGTGTAACCTCCACCATCCTGCACCTAGGATTCAAACCCAGGACCTTCGGTCTTGCGTGCAAACGCTTGATCTCTAGACCAGTGAGCCGGCATCCAGTAGTGTTAGTGTCTAACTTCAACCAATCCACGATATTGCCCGACCGCCCACCATTGTCTTCAGTGAATGACCATCCCACAACAGACATGGTTGAACTCCACTGGTCACAGCTACTTACTAAAACTCCAGGAAAAGCACCTAGTTTCGTACGTCAGAAATGTTATTTTCAGATTCAAGTCATTTTGAGTGAAACCATTGAATTCGGAAAGTATAAAAGGAAAACTGAAGTATTTATATAAGTGGTTGCTTTTAAAACCGTATTATGTTTCAAAGTAAGTTTTGCAGCACGGATTTTGTGACGGTCGAAACTAAAAAAGTATTGGCAACTTCATATTTTTATGTTACTTTTACCTTTCTCCAATTAGAATCTTTGAAAACCGCAGCTTCACAAAACCCCTCTACCTAGTATCTTCCCCAACTAAGTAACAAAATAGGTTTACAATGTAACTTGTTCCTCATTTTACAGGATCTTATAGGTTTGCGTATAGATTTTGGGGAAATTAAAGACTTGTAACTGATAGCAAAGGGGACTGAACATGAGTACGTTCGAAGATGAGACGTTTCCGATACTATTTGGCTTTTAATAGTCCCCTGCTTGACATAGATTTGTCAAACTATACCCATGAATTAGTCGATGACTTGATCAAAAATGAACTTCAGCACAATGAGTCAGTTATAAGGGTTTGTCAATTCATCTACAAAAGATTAATCTAGAATAATTGATATCCTCTTTTTTTTTACCGGGAAGCGTATGACTAGTATCAACATAGATATTTATGAATCTTACCATTTCCTTCAATATATCCAATAAAATATCAAAGTTGTATACGAATCTTTTTACCAATCTTACAAAACATAATATTATTCAGTAGTTAAAATAATCATAATTGTCTGTATCTCTGTAAGTGGACACTCGCATTGAAGTCGACCCTCATATAAGTATGTGGTGGCAGAGATTTCAATTAAATACTAGTTAATGCATTTGCTAACACGATGAAATTATACGTATAACGAACTTTCGTAATCAGTAGTGCTTGTCTATTAGTCCATGAGTGAAAAAGACGTTTTTTCAAAGTCGATTCAGAAATATGTTACTGTCATTCATGTATGGACTGTATTGCGAAGAAAATGCATAATAAAAGTGGGTAAGTATATTTGTAATAAAACAGTAATGTTTACATGACGTTAGTTATTCAGGACAACAGCTTGATAGCAGAAAATTATCAACGAAGATAAAAAAAGAGTCATGGAAATGCTAAAAATGAACTTTGCAGCAATTTTATGAATCATGAGTTACACCATAACCTGTTTATTAAACCGATCAAAAATATTTAAATCTCACGTACACACTAAAAGTGTAAGTATACGCAAATAACTAACAGCTCTTAACGTATATTCTGTGAATGTTTTTAAAACGTTATAATTGTGTTTGAGTAAGATATTGTAGACCACAAATGTAGATAAACTAAAAAACAGGCAACATAAATTTGAAGTTACTTCTTAACTTGGTGTGGCACTCACTTTGTACTTAAAATAATGAAAATCAACTTTTGCTAAGTCACACCATATGATTTAGCTAAGATTTCCATCCACCTTTTGTATAGATATTATGTCGTTCGTAGTTCCACAGTGTTATTCTAAAAACGTGAAATGTATCCCCTAGAAATAGGAGACACACGTTGGTCAAAGTATTAAGCCATAGAAATCCTTTGGGTATTAGCTGCTTATAGTGAAACTCATGTGTAAGGTATTCTTTTAAATAAACGTAAAATAGTAGGTAAAGTTAGTCAGTCGGTAAATATATCTATTAATTTTCATTTTCTGAGACCGTCAAGATTCATGTTACCTATATGTAGCTATTGCTTGTCGCCATGAATTATTTTAGCTACCATAGTAACATGGGATGGAAAGAGGTAACGTTATCGAACACTAGGACTTAAAATCGACTCGTTAATTCAACAACCAATGTTTTGAAGATCGATTGTGAATCTCCAAATGTGGTTATTCTTTATCTAGCTCCAAGTTTTGAGTTCAGTATAACTGGATACTTTTCACTCGTCTTCGACCTATTTTCTTCTAATTTTTTGATTAATCTTGGTTTTATTTTGACTGCTTTGCTTTGGGTGACACTAAGCGATGTTCACGGTGTGAATGAAAGTGGGAACTATTCACATTTATTCCATATTCTTTATTGTTTATGGTTGTATCTAGAAAATGGCATTTATTTAATATTGATCGTGAGTTTATCTTTTTTCAACTGATGAATCTCCTTAAATCTAATCATAATTTCATTGTATTTCGTTCTTTTTGATCTTATTGAAAATGCATTTGAACGGTTTAGTTTCTGTAGCAGTTTTTGTAGCGGTTTCTGTAAAAAATAAGTCGGTAAACACTTTATTAATTAGAATGCTCTATGAATCATTGATCAGTTTATTTTGATAACCATACAAACCGTTTTACATTCTCTTATTGAATTTCAGTTAAAAAATGGTATAATTGAGAAATTATCCAAAATGTTATGTAGACCAGAAGAGGATCTCGTTAATTTATGTTTACGTTTGTTATATAACCTTAGTTTTGATACATCTGCTAGACTAGAAATGGTGTCCAAAGGTGTTTTAAATAAAATTGTAGGATTATTAGGTGAGTTAAAGAATCAGTTTATATTTTTAACTAATAATAGTTTAAATTAAGTTATGACTGTACTCAGGGTAAAGTTTAGTCATATTTCAAAACAACTACTTTTGAATTATATGTGCACATCATTGTCTCTTTTAATACCATATATCGTCAGCGGAAGTCATTAGTTTCATTTCCAAAGCAATTCTAATATTGAATGCAGGTTTCGTTCTTCAATAGATCTGACTCAAACAATGTAAGAAGTTTACATCACAAAACGTTCAAGTAATGTGAATAGACAAGCTCATGTTGTTCGGAGATGTTTTGAGTTTATATACTAGATATAGTTGACTCCGTATATTTTTGAATCAATATACTCTATAAGAATTTTCATTATTCCTAAAATGATATAAATTCATTTGCTGTCCAACTAGTCACTAATGTAATACTGTATTCAAACTGTACATAATTAGAGACTCATTTTGTCTTCTATGTTACTTGAGATGAACCAAATATATGCCTTATCAATACTAAAAGTTAAGTTGTCAGATAATTTATGCTTTCATCAAATTATTGATACGTAATATCAAACACAGATGAATAATTTCAGAAGTGATAATTCATCCCAGCGTGTAAATATCACAGATCTGATAAATCTATATATATTCGTTCATTCGCCAACTGATATTGGTATTGCATTATTGCTTGGTAATAATAATTGTTGCAGAATTTTACCATGTTATTTATTCAAATAGTAATAAGTAGCATTGAAATCATAAGTCCACAATGATTAAAAATCTTGAAAACATATTATAAATATTTATTTACCGATCAATCTTATTCTGTCTCGTGATGTACTTTACCATCTTCCTTCTATCATTCCATTGTTTTCCTCTCCTTCTACGAAACTACAATTAATAGTAATAATAATCTTCATACTGATTTCCAGACAATGCGGTACTTAATTTCTAAAATAACTGGACAAAATTTACGTTTTTCCACACAACTTTTGGAAATATTGGGGTAGTTTTAATAATTCCGAGACTGCCTTATCAGTCATTTGTCTGACTTATGAGATAAAGGTAGAAATACATTTATTAGAAAAAAATTAGGATGTTTGCAGAAACTGGTAATTTCAACCAGAAAACAAACTTGAAAAGAAAAACCTTATAAAAATAAAAGGGGGGAGTAAAGATTCCACTGGGTGAGAGACAGCGGACTTTTAAACAACGACAAAAGTTTAAGTTACACATTTTATAATTCAACTGTACTCAAACAGCGTTCTGAAAATCCCTATAGTCAGATACTTGTTATTTTATTACAAAATTTAACTCCAACTTCTTTGTTTCACAAAGGAACTACTTTATAAAAACTAGGATTACTCACGATTACCATGATATATTTTTGGGAGATTTGAATAAACTTTAATGTATATTTGCTGCCATTGTTCGATCAATGATAACGCAAAATCCATGCATTTGAAGTGGTTAACACATTTAACAACTACATACTTTCGTAATTTAGATTTTAGGGAAAACGGGTTTCATAGCGTCTTCTTATTGACAGATATGACGCATCCTAAATGCTTGGAAATTTCCTATCAGGTTATTTTATAAGATCTATTTTCACTATCTCCCTTCAGTCTTATATCATCTACAAAAGGATTTAAAGGTAGGACATTAGTCCTTGACAAGCTGGAAATAACCAGTCTTGTGCGTTAATACTTTTATTGTATGAATCATTCAAAATGACTAGTCACTCTGTAAATTCATGAAATAAAGGATGATTTTATCTGTTCACATTGCACAGATGAACACAATTTTCTTGTTTCAATCCTCAAAGTTTTTTTAAAAAATTTAATGGCTTGACATGGTTTTGTGTTGACTTTGAAGATGCTATCGTTGACAATAAAGTTTCGTTCTCTCTGACTTGTAAACTTTTAGTATGAGAAGCTAAGGAAATTTCTTTCCTGATTCTGATTGTATTATTATTATTACTAAGAATTAAAAAAGGTTTTATGATATCCGTTTCAATAGCTTCATAATGCTATTATATGTCTCATCATCTTTTGCTTCTCTCAGAAATCCACTTTCTATAATCAAACAAAATACTGCACCATAATATATTTTAGTTTATCATATTTATTAAATCAGTAGTATTTTTCTTCATTAGAAAATACTCAACATCAACCAGTAGCTTTGTACATACTATACCATTTAACAACAGAAGCTCAATCAAGACCGGCATTTGTCAATACACAATGTTTACCATTTGTAAGTTATCTTTCTTTATCATTTGACGTTCAATGAAGTACTGATTTACTAAATATATTCACATGGTAACCTGTTTTACAGTTTTGCTTTTTGATAAAAACTATTGTCACCTTTCTAATAGATGTGTTACGATTAGTAAACCAAAAATAGTTATCACTATTAAGGCTAAGTTCATGGTTTATTTGGAAATTGACGACGTTAAAATACGACATTCAACAAAATTTATAATTGTACGATTTTCCGCTTCAACCTTCTTTGTATATTTATTTTAGATTTTTAATGTGGATGATTTTGCAACGCATTTTTACTATGTGGGAGTTATTTTGATACTCAAATATATTGATTAATCTCTGAGCAATTAAGCAATGAAAGCTGTAATTTTCCAATAATGGTCATAATGAATTGGTCTACTCCGTGTACATATACTTTAACACTGAGATTAGATTTTGAGATATGCGACATCAATTGGAGTAATGAATACACCATCCAGCAAACAACATCAAAATATCCCTCATCGCAGAATCTCTTTACCAAGAACTATGAGTAACATTAGTCTTCGAAATCAAAAATTGCAAATTACAAAATATAAGAATGATGTACTTCATTTTGTTTCCTAAGTTCTGTAAACTTTTGTAACTCGTTTAGCAAGTACAGACTATGTACGAGGCCTTGAGGCTCACATTTTGTATATAAGCTAATGATGTTAAATAATTGTTCAAAAGGATGTTTTAAAGGAGATGATCATAACGTCAGCCCAGTGACTGAAGTTGATGTGATTTGATAAATAAACCTTCCCCTCATTATGGTTTTCAATTTTTAATGGTTGCTAATTCGTTAGCCTTTGGTGCTGGTAGTAAATCCTATTATCGTCAAATATTCGTGATCAGTAAACGAGGGTAAAGTGGGTAGACAGCATAATTTCAGTACACCATTCGATGTAATTTTGGAATCATATATATGAACATTGTTGAATTTGGTCATGTCTGAATATATGGATAGGATAGATGTCTCGTCATAATAATGAAAACATAAAACGTATTTATAACTGGCCATAAAACTCGGCACAAAGTACTAAATTTGATACAGAAATAATACCACCAGAACAGACAAATGTCATCTTTTGGTTTTCGCAAATTTTTTGGAACAAGAAATCATCTTCGCTATAACACTGGTTGATTTGTAAGGTCAACTAACAATGTAACAGTCGAAACAGATTGATTTCATGATGTAAACTATTTATATCTAGTACAACATTATGATCACCACGTTGGGACGAATTTCAAAATTACTGTGCTTTTTTTTCTCAGTGTTACTAGCAAACAAGGAGTCCTAGACAGTAAATATACGCTGGTTTGAGGAGATGTAAAATTGCTTACTAGTTGATGAGGATGAAGTTTTTTCCAATAATGCTTAACTATGAATGTTTAGATAAGCGGTGAGAACCAGAGCTAAATTCTATTACTAAAAGGATTAAATTGCTTTCATCATCAAATTTTGGATTTACTGAAAACTAATTTGAACTGTACGTTTTCCAGCTGGAATGCTGTAAGTTCTGGAAATCTTCATTTCTTCGTGCCAACTAATGTCGTCTAAAGTTGTTGGATATTTATTTAGCACCAAACTTTAAATATTTTATTTCTTTCCATCTGTTTATCTTCTATCCATCTATAATTTTCTCACTTCGAATGATTATCTTCTTGCTTGTAATGACTTTGTTTTTGAGTTATTTAAAAGGATGTTACCTTAAACTGTGATGAGTTACTATGTTCCAAGTTGACATTTTTCTATCTGCATGTCTATCTACCAGTGGTACGTGAAGGGCACCTTCTACCCATTTAATTTATTCATAAGATTTATTTAGTTCTACACAAAATGTCTGTTTAATGACGACTACTGATAATAGTTATAAAACACTCAATGGATAAGGTAATATCGTCATTCATATTTTCATGCCACATGAATAAGTAGTAAATTTCTCCCTATTTTTAGCTTAAGAAGTTAATACTAGAAAATCCTGAAGAGAAATCTGATTTAATTCCAATGGCTCTAGGTATTAACTTGGTATTAGATAATCAATGTGCAAATGCTATGCTTGGTGAAAGTCGATGTTTTAAACTGATGAGTAAACGTGCAATAAAATTCCGTGATCAATTAATCATGAAGTTACTACGTAATGCAACACGGAACAATGATTTATTAAAACTAAAGATGGTAGTAAGTCATTGTAGATTTCCATGCTTTTTAGTAATTTAAATTTATATTTAGGGAAAGTCACATAATTGCTTAACTTTGATCATTTACTTGCGAAACAATGTAATAATTTACTGGAAGCTATTGAACAATAATATCGACTTCTCGAAATACCGTGTCATAATTAGTTGTTTTTTGATGAGTTGTCTGTGAAACTCAAAACTTCCGAAATTATGTGAATGGAATAGTGGATATCATAGATGGCAAATATTATATCTTGGAGGTCTTACTGTATGTTCCTTAATTGTTGCATTATTAAATTGTCACCAATACACATCTAATTCATAATTTACCCTTTTCGCCTACAGACCTGACATATTAGCTTTGATCACTAGTGATGCACTATGATTCATAACTATTAACCTTAAGTAGTAACCGAGACAATCTTGAAGTCTATTCGCTCATAATCCAACCTATTCCGTTTAACCCAGTATTCACTCCAAAGTAAGAACACAGCAGAAAAGCAAAATGTTCTGTTTTCATTCAGTCATCTAAACATCATAACCCAAATACCCTGTAGTAATGGTAACATTGTAAAACAGTTCGAGAGGAGTAAGTACAACTATTGTATTATTTATATCCTTACCTACTTGACCGTGCTTGTCACAACACATTATAATAATCGTTTACGAATATTAGATACATGTGGTCTAAAGTAAATTCATCTTTCAGCATATGACTCTGGTTGCATGGCTGTGGATGTGTACTGCTGAAGAGTCCCATACTGAAACAAAAATGCCTTTCAATGTCCCCTGCTTTCCATTGGTTGTTTAACTAAGATCAGCCCACAATGTTAACTATAAAATTCAAAAAATCCCCCTAAACTCCTTATATTACTTGGCAAAAGATGTAGTTAGTCCGTTGTTTCATAAATATATACTACCTAGTGAAGCTTTTATGTATCCGTGTTTAAGACTTTATTTTACTCGAAAACTGTGAGGTTTCAGTCTCACAAATAGTATTTTCGCATAGCTCAACATAAATCCCTGTGTGGTGCAACAACAAGAAGAATAGCTCGATGACTGCAAAACGTTTTCCCTGATTCAGATTACCAAAACTGACATTAAAACTATTTCCTCCTAAAAATTTAAACCTTTTCATTAACTGTCTTTTATTATTTTGTTTACTCTGTCCAACCAATTTTGAAGGATTTTCTACCAGAATTATTAAAAATCGTAACTGATGAAAAACCCTTTTTGATGAATACACCGAGAAATCTTTATCCTTCTACAAAACCAACTCGATATGATGAATTGAAGATAAGTGGTAAAAAGCATTTGAACATTGAAGTATTGAACTCCAAAATCAACCAGAATAACACTTCAAGTTTATTAGGAAACCGCTTAAAGATGAAAATTTACAAAACTGACGACGGTAATAATGGTAGTTGTGGTGAAGGTGATGATAACGACAAAGAAAAAGATGATGATGATGACGACGAAAATGAATTTAGAAAAAAAGAAGAAGACTTCAAATTTGAATGTTTAGGTTGTTTAGCTAACCTTAATCTTAAGGATATTCAGTACAGTAAAGTAATCACTGAATTTAGTTTGCTCAAATGGATCAAAAGCCATCTGGAAAGCGTACATGTTCAAAAACCAAATGATATTTTAAATAGAACTCCCGAAGTTATCAACGGTTTTGGACCAAGTTTTTCATCATCAATGTTTCCCAATCACCCAGATGATGAAATTTTAGAAATTGTACGAATGCTTAGTGCCATATGCCAGGATCCTGATGCAGGTAAAATGGTAATTGAAGCTGGAGTCGTACACAATTTGATCAGTTTATTGAACGGTATGTCACATTTTATATATATACATTATATAATATTATTTATGAAACTCATTTAACCTGTTGAGGTTTTTGTCAATAAGATTTCCTATGTATGCGAATCGATGTAAACTTTGTTAAATAAGTCTTTTCAGTAACCATTTTATAATTCGTAAGATGTCTAAGTACATGAAAAAGAGTAAGAAGTTTCAGAGTGATCAACTCCACTACTCTTTTGATAAAGATACTTTATGGTAGCTTCCAACTTTTCTTTGTTGTAAATTCACAGGAGCGTGCTGGTTAGTCTGTGTGGACATATCGACTGTCATTACCAAGACTTTTGATACCACATTTTTATAATATTTGCAGATTTTAATTGTCAGGAGTTAGCAGTAGAATTCAATGTGCAGAGTACATGGTATTCAGAACTCATCAGACAAAAATATTCATACCAAAATGATCTAATGTTCCCACTTACACTCGAATATGTCATCTGTCACCTCAAATATCTGAGACGGATTGAATTATGGTTAATAAACACCACTGGGTTGTAAACTCTTAAACTTAAATAGTTTCAAGCTTTTCAACAACTTATGTAATGCATCACTGGCCAATGTTCTTCATAACTAATTCTTATCCATTATTCCTAGTAATCTTATGAAAGACCTCTCATTTTCAGTTAAATTCATTTGTAATCCAGAATCTGAAAAACGAAACAGACATTTGTTGCCTTCTTGTATGCATATGAAAGTTCTTAAATCCTGATTAGGATTCATCAGGCGTTTAATGACAAAGTGATACAGTTGAAAATTAGTTCAAGCAATCCAGATTTACTCATTCATACTCTTTGATGTATCATATCTTTACTTCATGCCTTTACTTCGTTCGCAACTTGTTTTCTTTAATTTTTCACTATCATAACTATTGATTTTACTCCTTTACTCTACCTCCTATCAAATTTTTCTTTATATTGAGATTTAAAATGCATCTATTCGGATCGATGTACATTTGTGTCATTTCACACGTTTTTTGTTTCTGTTTTATTATGAAGGGACCTTTCTGATTTGTTCATGAGTGTGGTAAGAAGTCAGTATTATCATTGCGAAATTTCCACCATTCATAAACTATTTACTTTTCTATGTTACCGTAGTGTTAAATCAAGTTCATTCATATAACTTAAAACAATTTGACAGCTACATTTTGTACATATTTCAAATAAATCATAGATCTGCTGAAACTTACTTGGTTACTTGTTACTTTTTTGTATTTGTATGTCATCTCGATATCTGAAACTAATTTTCACCATAGTGGTTTGTTAGGTACTTTCAAACTAATATCATGGCATTAAAGGCTTATCAGTTATTTTCTATACGTGTACACTGTTTTCTGTCGTGCTACACGTTATTCCATCTTAACATTAGCATGTCTTATAATACACTGTACTATCTTTTTTTTGTGGTTTACATGCAATGAAACCTTCCAGATCAATTATACACTAGGAATGTAGAGTTTAAGATTCACTACTATATCGTAGAACTATAATGGAACTAACTTACCATACTGATTTAGTGGTAGTTGCTTCTATTTCATATGTGCTTTCGAATAGTCGGAGTAAACTTACTTGCAATTACAACGATAAATCTAGGCTATAAGGAACAATTGTCAGTACAAAGTTCACGTAGGTGATGAACGAGGTGATTTCGTGTGATATTAGGTCACTATTCAGTTGTTCAGACCGTGGGAGGATATTTGTTCTTAAGGAACTTGAAAAAGAAACTGGACGGATGATGATCCTAGCTGCTTGGTAAGGTGATCATATAGCCCAAAGGAAAACTGCTTGAGGTCAGTCATACACGACTATTTTGTTGACATTTTTCGACGTGTTAGCTCCATTGGAGATGGAAACCCTTTGGGTAAAGTGAAATATGAAATTTTTGGGGTCAACTTCGCTAATCTGTCCCTTCTTTTATGAGAAGCTAGCATCTATGAGGATGTTGGAAGTTCGTTGTCACACTCCTTTACAGTCAGCATTACTTCGTCCTTAATTTTCTTGATTTATTCTAACTATTTAGTCTAACCCAACCGACTCACATCATGTTGTAGAACCTAAAGGAACTGTTGTTCCACCTAGCATAGCTCAATTGGGACATTTCGTTATGCAATCCTGACGACCACATTGAAATAGCAGCGATGGTCAGACATAGTAAAAGGTTTGTTATGTTCTTGTTAAAAGAATCACAGTGGTAATAAGGACTATGTGCAAACTGTTAGCCTTTCAATCAGTGCAGAACACTTAAATAGCAAAAATTACTATTGAATTATATTGGCCGAAGCACAAATCTAGAGTTTTAATACCTAAAGTAAGGAATCAAACTATTCATTTACTTACTTGCACGGGTGTGAAATACTGTCTGTTGGAATAGATTTGGCTGAAAATAATACTTAAAAAACGGTGCCACTTACAAATCAATAAATTATGGGCTAAGATAAATGTTTTACATTTTATGCAACGTACGCGTGTAAATTATGGGTTAATATCTTAACATCGGGGAAATCACACTCCTTTATAATTTCTGATTTTTTTTCAGTTAAACAGGAGGATGACGAAATAGTTTTTCAAATTGTCTTCACATTTTTTCAACTAACTTTCCATGAATCAACAAGAAATTTGTTAGTGAAAACGACACGTGAGTACTAACTGTCATTTTTTCATTTATCTTTTATGAAGTATTGGAATGTTGTACAGTTAAAGGTTAATTTTAAATGAGCTAAGTGATGAGCAATGCTAAAAACATTTAACATGAACAAGTAATATTGGAAATTGTATACAAATCAACTGATTTATTTGTATGCAACGTATTTATTGCTTCCAACTAAAATGAATATGAAATTTGATTGTGCTTCAAAACGGAAATCTATTAAACCGAACTACATTCACAATACTTTCTTTCGTACAACACCTCTTAGGTATAACTAAGTGATCTAAAAATCTAGAAATGAACCCGCCACTAAAGGTTATAATTTCTCACTAAACATTTCAGTTACCAACGAATTCTAAAACCTAACTGAGAATTGATAATGTACTCTTTCGTTCTGCATTGATAATTTGGTAGGTCACATTTCACTGTGGACTATTTGATCACCTTCAAATTGTATTTTCCTATAATGGTAATTTAATCGGCTAAAATATTATTGGAGGATTTTTGATTCAGATGATTTATCGATACTACATTATGTTATACTACAATGCTATCAATAAATTGAACAGCATCGTAACCATTTTTTCTAGTACAATCGCGCCAATTCTAACTTTTCAAAACGCCCATTCAGAACACCGAAAAGCCAAATGAATGTCTGCAGGTTCTCTCGTCATTTTGATGAGCAGCTCTCTTGGTTACAAGAGGGAAATATGGAAATATAACGTACTGGAACGCACATATCGCGACAGGCGCACAAACGTCAGTAACCCGTTTAAAGTTGACTGGTTGCTGTTCATGAACAGAAGAGAATAACGTGAATTGTTTGAATTTAGACTTGTTCAACATTAGATCTCGGATCAGTGCTTTTTAGGATAAACTTTCGCGTGCTAGACCGAAGTTTCCGAGTCCTATCTTCTGAGAAGGAATTTCGGATGCGCATTGCTCAGTGGTCCCACACCAGGGCAAAGTAGCCACCGAGTGCTTCCGGGTTCTTGATGATCAATAAGCTTAAATCGGTCTGTGATTTCAACACCATTTGACAATCTCCACAATTCCTATACTGAAGAGGTATAATTATGATCAACAAATCGAAAGACAACTTACACTTTAAAAGGTAAAAAATACCATGATTCAAGTGTTTGATAAAAACCTATTGAAAACGCACAAACGAATCAATATCTCCCAGGTTCCATATATCCCTGTTCTTGCCTCCCCAAATATACTGACATGACTTTTTCTTTATATTTGCGATTTAGTATTTAGGAGAGTTTGACAGGACACTAATCGTGCACTCTGAAGTTCTTAAAATTAAGATTCTAACTGATATTTATGTTAATTATAATCATATTCGTTTAAAATATTTTAAAGAAACATTTAATAGTCAATCATGCCTTGTTTCATTACACGTTTTTTTAAAAATCTTGACCGTATTCTAGAAGCTGTTGCTTATCTTGTCGATTTGATGCACGATAAAAATGCCGACATTCGAAAACTTTGTGATATTACTTTGGACATTGTTTGTGTAAGTTAATCTGCATTAACTCATGTGTTTGCAAAGACATTCTACACCATAACTACATATGTAATTAAAATAATCCCGAATGTTCCATGTATGTTTTATTGATAAAGTTCATCATAAAATGTTTTACGGTTGTGATATATTCCTCGTATTCAATAGTAACATATACGTAGAAATACAGAAACTCCGCCTGTAGCTCTTCTAAACTTACAGTTGGTTCCAAGCCCGGGTAAAGGACATGAGTTAGCAACTCCATCCCGTAGAAAACTAAATCCCTAAAAAACTCTAAACATAAAAAATAATTCAAACTGGAGAAATGCTACTGTACTCCGGTCACGAAGAGAAAAATATTCCACACACTCAGAGAGTTGCTCTAATGCTTTCCAGAGAAGCACGAAATGCACTTGTAGGAAGGGAATCTCGTGAACCCAAATTCATCAAAGCACCTTTCAAAACGAGGCAGGAAGTAATCACGATGAGTGTTTTCAATGTAATGCACCTATCACTAATAGTAACGACAATGATGAAGATCAGTTTTACGAGAGTCTGCAACTGATCATAGTGAAATCCTTAAGAAAACACCTGAACATCTAGATGAAAGAAATAAACACCTAAGTTGGAATGTAAAACACCTGGTTTGAAGATATAACGGGACGACATGGACTGGGAGAGAGAAATGAGAGTAATGAGAGATTTTCAAATATATGTACATTCAACAAATAGGTTATAGGTGGCACAATATTCCGACAAAGACACATACACACAGTTACTTAGATCTAATCAGGTCACACCACGGAGAGTTTGTTCAATCATATTTACATCACTAAAATATTCAGAAGGTCAATGAAAGATGTGAAAACAAGGAGAGGAGCTAATATTGTGATGTGAGCTACTGATATCGACATAAGTAGTATATATGGTGAGTAAGGAATAGAATATCTGACAGCAGAAGATTGAGAAGATCAAGAAGAGAAGAACAGAAATAAAAAGCAATTTGTGTGGAAATCCAGGAACAATGAAGCCTGAGGCAATTGAAGAACATAGTTGGTTGTCCTCACCTGTGTTCTCATTCACAACATTTGGTGTAGCCGCCAACCAGGAGGAGGAAGGGTGCTGTTCTGCGGACGCCGCTGCCTGTCTGGAGTTGAGGTGCTAGTTGGGGCAGTCTGGTGCGGAGAGGCGGCGTCGAGTGGAGTGTTCCAGCGGGGCGGCGTTGGCTGTAGCGGGTGCTGTCGACGGAGAGGAGCAGTGGGACGTGCGGCTGCTGGGCGGACATCGGATGTAGATGGCTCAGCAGGCCGGTGGAGTACGGGTGTTGAACGTCCCAGGTGCCGGGTGGATACGGATGTTGGTGCCCCGGCAAGTCGACGGAGCTATGGAGGTCAGCGCGCCACAGACTCGACATTCTGACGGAGAGTCTGGCACAGACTGCATTGAAAGAAGATAGTGGCATGGTGAGCAGAACCACCGCACGAACGAATGCTTCAAAGGGGGGACGAGTGTGGTGTGGTCAGACATAGAATGTATTTTGGCAAAAGACCGATAAGAAAAGAACTGAAATGAAGCGCAATCGTTTGGAAAATGCATGAGCATTGGAATAAGAGAAGAAACAGTAAAGATTGAAACAATTGGTTGTTAATTTGCAAATTGACTGTTCATTGTTTGGTTATCAGAATTTACTGAGATAGTCTGTAATTTTTGCTTAACTACATTCGATTGTCCCCAACTTCAGATTACCACCTGGTTGTGGCCAAGATGAGACTTAAGCTAATAAAACACTGGACAACTGGGGGAACAGCATTAAGAAGGTTCAATACAGCCTTCTTTCGAGATACTGACAAACTCAAAGAATTCTAAATAGCTCTCAACAATAGGTTACAAACTCTACAGGATCTACTGAAAGAAGAAACTACGATGGAGAACAACTGAAAATGTGTCAAACAAGCATTAAATTTAACTTGTCAGGAGGTTCTAGGTCACAAGAAGCATCATAATGAGGAATGGATCTCTATGGGAACCCCGGACAAGATTGAAGAGAGAACAAAAAACAGCAACTAACAACAGTCGAACACAAGCAGAGAAAGTCAAGGCACAAGCAAACTATGCAGTAGCAAACAAGCAAGTGAAGAAGAACATTAAAGCTGACAAGCAGAAATACATGGCAGAACTAGATACGACGGCAGAAAAAGATGCAACAGAGGGGAATATGAAACAACTATATGATCTAATGAAGGAACTAGCAGGCAAATACAGTAAATCAGACAGATCAGTCAAGGACAAAGAAGGCTAGACAATCGCTGAGGTCCAAGAATATATGAAAAGATGGGTAGAATGCTTCGAGGAAATTTTGAATAGACCAGCTCCATTGAATCCACCGAACATCGAAGCAGCACACACAAACCATCCGATAGATATCATTCCACCAACGATCGAAGAAATCAAGATGACCATCAGACAAATCAAGAGTGCGAAAGCAGCAGGACCTGACAATTTTCCGACTGAATCACTGAAGTCAGACACTGAAGTAACTGCAAACATGCCTCACTTTCCATTCAAGAAGACTCGGGAGGAAGAACAAGTGCCGTAGACAGGCTGGAAAGAAGGATACCTCATCAAGATACCAAAGAAAGGAGATCTGAGCAAATGTGCGAAATATAGAGGCATCACACTGTTGTCAGTCCCAGGAAAAGTTTTCAACAGGGTGTTGCTCAACCTGATGAAAGACGCAGTAGACGCCCAACTCTGAGGTCAACAGGATGGATTTCGTAAGGATCGGTTATGCGCAGACCGAATTGCAACACTACGGATCGTCGTTGAACAATCAGTTGAGTGGAACTCGTCACTATAAATCAACTTCATTAACCATGAGAAGGCGTTTGACAGCGTGGACAGGAGACCATTATGGAAACTTCTTCGACACTATGGAGTTCCTGAGAAGATTGTCATCATTATCCAGAACTCATACGATGGACTACAGTGTAAAGTAGTGCATGGAGGACAGCTGACAGATGCATTTCCAGTAAGGGCCGGAGTCAGACAAGGTTGTCTACTCTCTCCCTTCCTCCTTCTTCTGGTGATTGACTGGATTATGAAAACCTCGACATCTGAGGGGAGGCACGGAATACAATGGACATCTCAGAATCAATTAGACGATTTGGACTTCGCAGATGACCTAGCACTTCTATCCCATAAACTCGAACAAATATAAACGAAGACAACTAGTATAGCAGCAGCCTCTGCATCAATGGACCCCAACGTACAGAAAATAAAAAGCAAGATTGGCAAATATAACACGAAGAACACCAACCCAGTCACACTTGATGGAGAAACTCTAGAAGATGTGGACACATTCATGTACCTGGACAAAGTCATCGGTGAGCAAGCAGGATCTGATGCAGACCTAAAGCCAAGGATTGGCAAAACAAAGGCAGCATTACCTCAATTAGAGAACATATGGAACTCAAAGCAAACTGTCAACCAATTTCAATGTGAGAATCTTCAATACGAACGTCAAGACAGTCCTACTGTATGGAGCTGAAACGTGGAGAACTACTACATCCATCATCAGGAAGGCAAAAGTATTTATAAAAAGTTGTCTACGTAACATACTCAACGTTCACTGGCCGGATACTATCAGCAACAGCGTTTTGTGGGGGAGGACAAACCAGCCTTCAGCTGAAGAGGAAATTAGGGAAAGACGTTGGAATTGGATCGGAAATACATTAAGGAAATCACCAAACTGCATCATGAGGCAATCACCAACTTGGAATCTTGAAGGGAAGCGGAAGAGAGGAAGGCCAAAGAACACATTACGCTGGGAAATAGAAACAGATATGAAAAGGATGAATAACAAATGGAAAGAGCTGGAAAGTATTGCCTAGGACAGGGTTGGATGGAGAATGCTGGTGTGTGGCCTATGCTCCTCCACTAGGGGTATCAGGTGTAAGTAGGTAATTAAATAAGAAATACAGAAAGAAGAAAGTAGATAATCATTATTTTCTCACGATAAGTATCATCTAAGAAGTTAGAATGTGAGGATGAATGAAAATTACACTTTTTCTTCATGAAAATCTTAATCATTTTCATATTTCATCCTTTATCTGACTAGCAAAGAGAATTTCGACTTGATTGATACAGAAACCATACTGTTTTTTTTCAAATAAATTACCTTTCACTATTCAAATACTTCATAACTACTAACAATTATTCAGTTTCAATGCATCATTTTTAAAAAAAGATTATTAACACTCTAAGTATCCAACTGCAGCTTCTATGACTTCATTGCTTAAAAGTACTCATTTGATTCTCAAAAATATTTCCAGTTTCTCTTGGGTTCTTGACAAACTTCATCGATAAGTAACAATAACACAATAAACTTATTTTCTAATTGTTCATTTCGCCAATACTTCTGGATGTATATCATTTATAATACAAATGTCTAATGCACAATTAATACCTTTTACAGAGTTAGGTAGCGTCACTGACGGATGAAATATATCGATATCGTGTATTTTATGAATACAATGATGTTTGAACGTTTTGATCATGCACTATCATCTTAATTTATTTCTTCTTTAAAAAATCAAACAAAAGGTACACTAAAGTTCATGGAAAGTATAAGAAAAACCTTAACAATAAGGAAACGTCTATGTTACTTATTTTAACCTCATTACTAAAATTGAAGTCAACTTTATCCAGTTAGATGAAATATGTAGACAAAGATATCAATTACCAAGATATAAACGAAACGCTTTATATTTTGAATTCCATTAGTTTCTTTAATTTCTGTGAACATTTAATTCAAATCTTATTATTACTTATCTTTAAGGAATATGAATCTGATTGGAGAATAAGGATTCAAACACAACGTTTTCGTTGGCATAACAGCCAATGGTTAGAAATGATTGATACAGCAACTAAACCTAGTATTCTTGATAATTCAGACTCAACAACTGAGGCAGCATTAGCAGCTGTCCTTGGCGTCGGTCATGCTCGATCTCAATATCATTCTAATTTATTAACTGATGATGAGTTAAATAATATTGTTAATAGAGATGATAACGATAATCGTGGTTACTTTGGAATGGGATTGGATATTGATGATGCAGCAGCATTTCTAATGTCACTATCAGCAAATAATGAGGGACGTAAGAGATCAGCAGGAAGTGAAAATATTTTACACATACCATTTGAAAACAACAACTATATGAACCACTTGAACATGTTGTATCCAGGTATGTGGAGAACATTAATAAGGAATCGTTTACTTTTCAATTTTTAACTTTGATTATAGATGTACTAATAATTTTACAATAGCTGTATTAAATGGATTTCTGCACCAATAATAAAAATGCACATTTATACTACGTACATGTTGATGTGTCGGAAAAAGTGTAGTAAAGTGACCAGCCAACCAGAGTTCGAAAATTGAGTGTATAATGAACACTAGAAGTATCTTGAAATACTGCTCAAAACGTTTTATATGGCGGCAAAAAATAAATTTTTGCCATCGCAGAGTAAAAATGATAGTATTGAACACATTGTATGCTGAATTCTGTCTCTGTAGAATGTACTTAACAGGCGAACTGACAGTATCCCTAAATCCTAACCCCAAACTTTGGATCCAGAAACAAACATAAACCGCGTTGAAATATATCTCATCAACAACCTAATCGGATAGCGCCCCTTCGATTTTTGTGTGAAATTCACTCGTCCATTTTGTTTTAGAATACTTTTGCCTTATACCCTACGTCAGTTAGTGATGAAAACCCTAGTCCTAACCCCAAATAGAAATAGTGTCGGAAATCTAAAAATCTCTTTACTCCTTTATAAGGGTTCAAACTATGAATAATCTACATCAGTTTGGTCGGACTTATGTGTCGTATTTTCAAAATTACAAGCAGATTAACTTGTAGAAGTTGTTATTAGATTGATTAATCATGTGAAAGCTGTTTATACTATATTATTATTTTCTTTTTTATAAAATATCCATTTACGAAAGTTACTCCATGATTATCTGAGAACTGGCTGGAAATTTGTAGCGGTTGTTTTGAGCTCGCCTCTAAACTGTACTCTCACCTATGTGTCTAACATTAACGAGTCGATAAAGTATGACAAACACTACAATATTCATTTTAATACTTTTGATAGTGATTTATACTGAATGAAAAAATGTAGAAAAGGTTGTTTTTATTGTCACTATTCGTCTTACTCTGATCAGTCAACATTTTATCTGAGCAATATCTATTTTTGTTGAGGATTCTAAGTCCCCATAAATCACTTGGTAAACGACTTATTTTCGTAATTTTATTTTAAAAATTTGAATTTCTCATTTTCTCACCAAAAGCGCACACCTTACCTTCAGGTTGTATTTCCTACTTGGAGGGTTCTTAAATGTCATTGGTTCGTTTCTTCTTTGAATACACTTTTTTGTGACTTTTGTGAAAGACATTTTTACACAGTATATATATACGCTTGAGTTGTGTACCTGTTCGTTCGTGCTTACGACGGCTTGCGGAATATACTTTTCCCTCGGTTGAATCTGGTATTCTCCTTCTAGCTCGGAGAGCTGGGGCGCAGTACATAGTTCAACTTATCTTGTTTTTCTGTTGTTGGTCCTTCGTTCTGTTAGCCGATTTTAGGTGATCTCATAATCTTCCCAAACGTAGTATTTCTTAAACTAAATAACGTTCCTCTAATTCCTTTTTTTGGGAAATGTACGTAAATAACTAAATTATTGGATATATGTAAAGTACCTCACAATGTACACCTACACATTGTGTATCTTAAAACATTCGTTTGATAATAGCCAACACTTGTGCATTTGATTTAAAAAGGCTTATAAAGTCGAATGATATTCCGTTATGTTTTGATCACTGTTGATTCATCCTGTTGTTAGCTCAGGTCATACAACATGCTTTATTTAGTTGTATTCTTAAGCAAAAATATAGATACCCAGGGGCTTTCATACTCTTGGCTTATATGAGCTCATAAATGATTCAATATTTCAAAACGAAACTTAAATCTACCTGATTTGTATAGGAAATGCTCGTCTCTAAACCCTAGTCACATAACTTGGACGGCATTTAATGAAGGTTTACTAAAAACTTCAACATATTTTTCCTTAATGACGATAGTTAAATTTCGTACGCCTTATAAATATATGATAAGTGCGTGTTTTTCTCTGAGCAATTAGGTCATCAGTATTGCCACTTCTGTGCATGTTCATCTTAATATGTAAATTGATATCCGTAGAAAAACAAACTCGTTTAGCTCCTACTTTATTGAAATGCCGCTGTCTTTTACTTTAAAATGGGTCTTTTTCAGTCATTCATTCACAAATTTCTATTTTAATTATAGATATGTACGGCGGTGCAAACTTCTTATCCACTGAAAGAGTGAGTCCGGCGATGACCGTTAACAGTCAATATGACTCAGACACCGATATTACTCAAAAAAGGAGTGGTTCACAGTAGGTTTCAAGATTTCATTAATGAATGTAATCTGATCTTTAGTACCGTAGTTGTCAGCGTATTCTTTTCAAGACGCATTTTAATCATTTTGTAGGTTCTACCACGTGCAAACTAATCTCTGTAGAAAACCATCGCTGAATACCACTAAAATTTGTAGAATTCGATAGGTTTGGTGCTCGTTGTTTTGTATTTGAGGATCTTGGTTTTTCCCTTGTGTATGTTATGGCCTACTGATGCAGAGACTGCTACTACACTGTTTGTCTTGACCTGCATTTGTTGATCTGTATGGGATATACAGCTTCATATTTGTTCTAAAACTAACAAAATTTGACTTGATTGTGTTCTACTTAGGAAAGTTTTGTGCGTACTCTTCGCAAACTGACATTGAAACAAACTTGATTGGCGATGATAATAACAAGACATATGGCAAGCTCAATGCCTCTGTACGTACACCATCGTTTTAGGACCAGGAGACTTGTATATATCTGAATAATGCATATACAATCATCTTTAGGATCTAGCGGTTTTTTTTCCAAGTTCTACGTTCTTGAGTTTCGGTTAAGGATTACATTTTATAGGATCTAGGTGAGTTTTGTTACAGCTTCCTAGTAAAACTATCACTGATAACTTGCGTATTTTAATCCAAAGATCAGTTACCTTGATTGAAATTTTGGACCGGAATATCTAAGTTTCTTTAAACCTAACGTTTTAAACTGCTTCATTTTTATGGTCGACTTTTATCGTAACTCTTCATAATTTGGCTAGTTTTCAGAAGGAATCCAAGTCACTGTTGTTATATCTTGTGGTTGAGTGGATGCATTGCTAATGTGTGACGCGATAAGACCCCCAAACAGGGAGCAGCGAATTATCGACTGGAACAGTGACACACGAAACCGTACGAGCAGACTAGAGTGCTAACCGGTCCTGCGATCTGCCTAGCCCAACCAGTTTAGTACAAAACACCGATAACAGCCTCAGTGGTATGAATCATTGTACTTCAAACATACTGAGTTTATATACCAACCAAACAGACCATATCGACCCATAAAATAGATAATAACATTTGTACAATATTTAGCCGAATGTGGCTGTGAATAGTAATCAATAAATTGATGATAACTCAAGAACTATATAATAATGGGTAAAAGGTCAAAATAAACCTAATGATAAGAGGAAACGAATATGATTAGGTCAGTTATAATAGGAAATATGCATGTTACATTGGCCAATAAATAGTCCTCAAAAGTTACCATTCGTAATTCTCTTCGGAATACAACACCTCCACTTTTTTGAAAACTCTGAGCCCCTCCTCCCCCACGAAATAGTGTTGGATCCTCATATACCCAAGTTTTATCTAATGCGATCCTATTTATAACATGTTTCTCGCATTCAATAGGGAACCAGCTAAGACTGACTGGATGGTGAGGATCGACATTTGATGTGAGGTCAGGATTTGATTCTGCAGAAAAGTAGTCATCAGACCTATTGCGAACATCATTGATAGGTTGTGAATCACTATGATAAACAGCGTCCATCAAAACTGCGCTAGGTTCCAGATTATCATTTGATGCAAGTAACACATTTTCTGGGAAAGCTTGTGAATCTTTATCATTAGATTCGGTAAACATTTCTATTGCAGAATGCGATTCGCTCGGTGTACTGCTCGATATGATCTCTGGTACTTTGTGGGCAGCTGGTGCGACAATTTCATGGGCATTTAACATGGCATCATGTTGATGAGAGCTGGAGGCGTCACTGTTCGAACCTGCTAATTCAGGGATAGTGGGGTTTGAATCCACTACCAGGCACGTTTCTGAAATGGACGTGAATGGACAACTGGGCTTTTCTTGAGAGACTGCTGTTTCGTTTAAGTTACGGCTTGTGGAGGATTCATGAAGGCTGCGATCATTTACCAGCTCTGTTTGACAATTCAGAGATTAATCCATCCACTTCCGACGCATATGCAAAGCACTGGTGATCCAGAAACTGTGTGCGTAATTTAACCATAAACTCCAAATGTCGGTCAAACAGCAACTGTAATCGATCGGAAGGGAGCGTCATTTTTCACTGTATGAATAATGACAAAATGGTAATCACGGACACCAAAGAAAATGTTGGATGCTGATTGCACAAAATGATTGCCTGATTTTCGAACAATTACAAACTGCCCTTTTTTGTCCCCGTCGCCAATTGATATGCTTGATCTAAATTGATTCCGCGGTAATGGACGAAACCCAATTATACAATGACCCGATAAGCTATTCTAATCTGTTGTCCGAGGCCCCGCTAACTAGATGAACAAGTCCAAGGCAAGTAGGGGAATATATGTATTCCGTAAGCAGCCGAGTACAAACAATCAAATAAGGGGAAAAGTCAAGCGTATTTATACAGCAACAAATTGTCCTTGAGCATCATTAATAAATAGCACACACAAAGAAACAATGGACCAATAGCGTTTAAGATAGTTTACAAGTGGGAAATATGACGTGAAGGTAAAAAGAGCGCGTTTGGCGCGAGAACAGCTAAATTCAAATTTCCAAAATAAAATTACAAAACTAAGCCATTTACCAAGTAAGTTCTGGGGATTTGACATCCCCAACAACTGTTAAGTGAAAGGTTATTAAAATCCAGTTGGATGACGCCTCTGTCATTTCAGTTATCCACTGTGTGAAATGATGTAGTTCTATAGATTAGAAACATTACATTTTAGTAACGACCAGTTAAGAGTTCGTTATTTCCGTTGCTGACATTTTCTAGCACACGTTAATCGACATTTCAAAAACTTTAGTCAACTAATGTTAACACCATACTCTTGTCAAATCCTAGTACAGATAACTATAAGACTTCACTTACAGTCTTCTATCACAGTGCAAATATTCATAACAAATCTTTTAAAAGGCGAAACTCTCAAATCAAAGTTTTTGGAACAGTGGGATCTGATGAGATAAATGTTTTAATTAGCTGATCGTAATACTAATCGAATATTTTGACAATGACATAAGGACCACGTATATATCTCAGTAGCCATAGTTACCTTCCAGTAATTTAACCTAGCTTGTTGTGAACTAATGGATTCCTAACATTCTTGTTAATTTTTTGTTTATCACTTAGTGGACATTATGTTTTAGCAGAACACATCCTCGTATATAGGATGTGGTTCTTTTCAACTCACTAGTAATTATCACTGTCCCAAGACTTCAATGAAAAAGGTAACT